AAAAAAAAAGTTTTTCTTTCGCGCTCAAAAAAAAAAAAAAATGCTCACCTGCTACTTTCTTCTTGTACTCCTCAGGTTTATGTAGATACATGGCCGCGGCGTCGCCATTTAAGGGGTCGATTGGATTAGGATATGTTAACAATTGGGGCAGGAAAGACTCGAATATATTCGACAAATCTGAAACAGTGAAGAGCAAGAAGAAAAGATTGATTGAGGATTAGAGAATTAGAGAATCGAGTTCGAGCTGCTATTTAATTGTAGAGAACAGAAGAGGTGATAGAGGGAGCACGAGGGATAATGGCTTAAATTTTCGTCAAGATTATGTAAATACGTACCGTAAAGGGCAGTCCAGGCCTGGTTTATTACGTCTAGACACACTGTGCCTGAGACCTCGTCAATGTTAGGGTGGTATACCTTGTTCATAAAGCCGATCGAAGGAGATTTGAAGGGATAGTGCTCGGGCAAGTGAACCCTCACCTTCCATATTCCACCCTCGTAAGGCGCTGTAACGTAATACAAGTACACGATATAATCAGTAACGAGCGTATACGAAATGTCAGTCTTTTGTGCAAGATAGATGATCAGAGGAAGAATATCGTTCTTCAGAATCGAAACAATTTTTCGTTTCTTAAAAATAACGCTCGAAGAATATTTTAAAGGGGAGTTTAATTCAATTAAATTGCATGCGAAATATCTTCTTGGAATACGTAAATCTCTTTTATCCAGAATGTTGTGTTTTTCTAAAATTTAGCTCGTGTAAACTTTCCATCAAAAATATTTATCACGGGCCAACTCGAGTTATCACTCGAGATATCGGAAATTATCTGCACGAATTAAAGTAAAGAAGTTATTCGGTCATGTTTTTGATTGTTGAAATTGCGAATACAGTTATCACTGATAATTCCAACTGGTGAAAAATCAAGTTCCATATCATCATAATTCGCGATAGATCGAGGAAACTGGAACATCGAACGGTACAATAGCGGAATATACGGCAAGAGGGAAAAGAAAATGGAAGGTTCCATTAAGGAGAATCCATCCAAGTTCAGGATACGAGACAAAATGTTTTGCTTATTCGAGAAATTCTTTTTTTTCTTTTTATCTGGAAGAGCTTTTCGTGTATCGAATAATGCGAATTCTTCCGACACTTTTGCTTAAGAAGGTATATATTTCTTCGAACTTAATGAAATTGAGATTATACCATTCGTAACCAAGTTCGAACAACTTTGTTGCTTAACGACGTACACACTGCTCCGAAAGCTCTGAACAAGTTTACGCGATATTCGATAATGGCGTAATTCTATTAACCCTTTTCCTAATGCTCCATCCGTCCAAAAGCGCAAATTGTTCCCCACGAAGATGTTCCTCGTGAGATGGAAGAAAAAGAGTTGGTTAAAAAGGAATCGATCAAAAATAAAATTATTTCGTTTACTTTTAAAGGAATTAATTTTTTAAGAATCGTTAAATTTTATTTTTCACAACAACTATTTTATCGTTGTAAAAAATAGTAAATATAATCTAAGTAAAATTTTTCATAGTGGAAATTGTTTCGCAATGAGAATGAAATGAGGCGAACGATAATCGGTTCGTTAGGAGCGAGATATATCAACGTTTTGTTCAAAATTTCTCGGAAAATTCGGTTCAAAGTATCGAATTATCCGCATCATTTAAATTCAAAACGAGAAAACGAGCGTGGCTCTCGTTAATTATTTGCGGGAAAGTGATTCAATGGCCATCGATAGATCGTACGTGGCGAATGAAACGCGACCACGAATAGCGGTCGATCGAAGAGAAGAGAGTTGACCGAGTGAAATTTATTTCGACGACGAGAAGGAAAACAAAACTTTCGACCATTGATTAAAATCAACGCTTTGGAAACGTTCGAAACGAGGGAAGTAGAAAGGGAGAGAAGAAAGATGAAAGGAAAAATGATGGAAAAGGAAAGAAGGGAAAGGGCGTCTTTCCTCATTCTTTCGGACAAAACTGGAACTCGAAACCATGGTGATGATGATCAATTAATCGTATAAACATTCGAGAGACAAACGAGAAGAGAAGATTTTGGGAAGATATTGAATGAATCGTAGTTGATCAAAGAGAGAATAAAATAAAAGAAAGAAAGGTGTATCGAGTGTAAAAGTATCGGTCTTAGTGTCGTGCAAGGTGACTTTGCGATCGAGGAAGGGATGAAGTTCTCATAAAAAATGCGCAAGTTAAAAATGGAGAATAAAAAGTTCTACATACGAAGCCTCGTGAAGCCTTCATAAGAAAATGGCTTTCTTAGATCGATGTATAATAACTAAAAGTCTATAAAGTAGATTTTTATATAAACTATCGCTTTTCTTTTAATTTCTTCAATATTGAAGCTCCAATCTTGTCTAATTATAAATGTAAATTTTTTTCGATTCGATTTTCAATTTTAATAATTTATCTATAATACCATATCTTTATCCAAATTATTTACTCGTTAGAACAAATTTCTGCAATTCGTATGAGAGAAAGTTAATATATAATTATTAATTTATTACATTCCCTGAAACTTTCCTACAAATAATATTTACAAATTTCTTATCTTCGATAGATGGTAAATTCTCGGATC